TCTGATAAAATTTATTTCGCTCTTTTGAAGGTCTTTATAGCTTCATATTATAATATATTATTGCTTGGTATATTCATATCATTTGATAAAGTTGGATTGAAAAACGTGTAAAATCTATTAACCTTTGAGCTAAGTCAGGAACTGAATTATTCGGCGTATATTTTCCCTCATGGTTGCCCAAACCGACGGCACTGTTTGTGGTTTTCGTATTTCCGAACTTTTGCACCATACTAGGTTGTGGAGAAATGGACTATGACACGAGAGAAGCATCGATAAAAATCAATATCTTCAGATGTCTTCTTATATGTTTCAATGGTTCTGGGCCAACTGCTGCTTGAGATGCTGTACAAAACTTTTTCGTGGCTTATCGATGAAAAATCATCAAACATATGAATTGTATTCTTATAAAAAATTATATTTTGAAATTTTGAAAAGTTATTGACAAAATTTGCATTACTATACTATACTATAATTTCAAAAATTTATTGTGTCCTTATTGGATTCATTAAAATTTAGAATCTATATTTCGCACAGACAAATGTAAGAGATCATTTACTTTTACAATCTTCAATATTATATAATACAATCTTCGATATTATATAATAAAACTATAAAAATATATTTAGCAGTGATATGTGCAAAAGACAAAGGGACAATTATTGTAATGTTGTTCTTATGTTCTTAATACTTTTTATGAAAGAATGATATTCAATCTCTTATAAAAGAGAAATTTTAAAAAAGAATAATGATATAGATAATATAATCTTAGCAGTATATTATAATAATATATACAAAAAGATAGTATGCTTATTGATAATAAACAATTGTTTTATCAAAGTTTAAGATTTGATATCAAAGTTTATAATTTCATACTTGGCAAACTGCGACAATGTTTATTTATTGGAGCGAATAAATTTAATTTTCTATTTTTTTTATTTGGTTTATATTAAGGAATGTTACGTAACACGATAGAATATGTAATATATTTATATACAATTTACCATAGAATTTGACATCATCGGATGATTGTTACGCCGTCTCTGTCTTTTGTTCGGCTCTGTCGTCCATACGTTGATAACTAGATACAAGTAATGCTAGTTGTATAATTACAATTTCGATTATGATACGATATTAAAGAAACGAGCAATAAGAATGTGCAAGAAGTATATTTTTTTAAAAAGAAAAAAATGTTTTTGATCAATTATTTCATTAACAATTTATTTGTATAAATTAAATTATGTACTAATCATCGTTAATGTTGAATATAACATATGTTAAAGATATGCAAAATTGAAAAAACTTTCCTGAGATTTCAAATTGTAACAAAGTTAATTCCTCCGGACTTTGCTAACATATTTCTCTTGTTTTCATTAATATATAAATTTTTTAAATAATTTTTTAAACATTTTTTAGATTCTTTAAGTGATAAGTTTTCTTATCGATACAGTTCATAAAAATAATAAAAATAAGTTTTCTTTATAAAATTTTATTCTATCTCCTTCTGCTGATAATAAAAACAAAATGTAAACCAATCTTTTATTTTATCTCTTTAAGTTTGCTACTCTTGAATGAGCAGCAAACAAAAATAATATAATAATAATATAAATATAAAAATAATATAAACTTTCCTAAAAATAATATAAACATAATTCTTTATGTATTATTAAAGTTTCATAATTCTCTAAATCTTAAATTTTTTAAATTTACGAGTTAGGGATCTTTCTGTATAAGTCGAAAAATTTTTCACATACAATATAATAATATCCGTTTATTAATGTATTTACATTTACCATCACATTTATCAAACTTTAAATAATCATTAAATATAAAATACATATGCGTAAAATGATAAAAGCATTGTATGGAAATAAATCATCTTTTTTTACTTGAATAAGAAATGTGAGTGTGGCCTAGTTTACAACGATACAACATAAGATCGTAAGTTCGTAACATTAAATCCGTAACTTAAGATCGTAGAATTTAACATTTTTAAAACCATGCTGTCTAATGGTTTTAAGACATTTCCCTCAAATTCTTTCATAATTTCTTCTTCCACGATTTGCTTTTGTCGTTTAATTTTCGAATAACGAAAAAATTGATTGACTTTTTAAAGTGAAACGAGAAACAAGCAAAGGATATTGGGAAAGTGTAGAAATCGAAAGGTTGATACATATGTATACATTGATCATTTACTAAATAAAATCCGTCTCAATTTCTCTCTGCTCATCGGGAAAGTTCGAATGTGAATAAAGACTGCTATTTTCGCGCATATCCGACCACGAAGAAGTATTCTCTCCGTAACAATACTATCTTAATAAACAGTTTTTCATGCTACTGTTCTAATTGATCAACGTTAAGCATAAGAAATGAAAATAATTCATTTCGCTTACGATCTTAGTTATGTTTTATTAAACCGAAAGCAGGTTCTTACAACCGCGCCTTACAATATGTAGCCTTATGTTATGGCTATTGTAGACTAGGCCTATAAATAAGAAGAACATTGAGAAATATTATTGCAAAACACTAGAAAAAGATGGCAAATATCCAAATATAAGTAACAGAGTAGAGAGAGAGAGAGAGAGTGAGGGAAGGGGGGGGGAGAAAGGAGCAGAATAAAGATTTTGCGAGACACATACTTGGCATTTCGGGTGGCGTTTCCTTCTTCACATATTTTCCGACTACCCCTTCTTTGATCATCCTCAGATCTTTGTTCTTTCTTGACAGCATACCATCGGTTTTATGAGCAACGTCACATAAAATCAAAACGTCAAATATAAGGAGTCGCGCGGAATGATCAGAATTATATTATAGAACGCTGACGCAACCTAACCTAACTTGCAAGTTAAGCTGGATGCACAATGAACACGGCAAGAAGAACAGCGAATAGAAACAAAATTTTTGACTCGTTGGAGTTCCCGTTCCTTATTGCCTGACCAATCACAGTGATTTGCTCCACTTAACGTTTACCTGTAACCATTTATATTATCGTAGGTTAGGTAGAGAATTTATATCGCTGAGTTCCGATTGGACAGTTCTTGGATGGTTCTTGTTGCTTTCGCCGCCATTGTGAATTGACGACAATAAATCTTTTGTGGCTCTGGCACACTAAACGCGATGAGCGACGAGCGATGAGCGATGTCCAATGTCCAATGGAGAGCTTTGCTTTTTCAAATGTCACGGATGGACGTTGCGGGAGCCATTATTCTCTGTTTCTTATTCCCGCTGTGCCTATGTTTTTCATTGCGCATCTAGCTTCATTTATAGGGTCTCTAGCTTTACAAAGCGACATTGGTAACAGTGGTAGTGGGAAAAGCGGTGTGAGGTGCGAGGAAAGGAACAGTTCGGAGTCGAATAAAGAGAAGGAGGAGGAGGAGGAGGAGTGCGATTTCGCGCGTTCTGAATTATTTCAGATTGCTTTAGACGTATACTCGACGATATAATACTGCAGTCGCCGAACGGAAAATTGAAACAAACAGAAGGAAATTGCTGTCCACAAAAGGCCAACGAGATGTCCGTGATGGGTAAGGTGAGTACTTTTATGCGCTATTTAACCTTCTCTTGGATCAATTAAGTCGGCAAGTAGGCAAGTGCCGGAAGAAGGAAAAAAAAGAGGGAAAGAGAGAGAGAGAGAGAGAGAGAGAGAGACGGAGTACATCGAATGGTAATCACGCATTGTTCCGCCGTGATAACTCCAAGTAACTTTGACCAATGAATCGTGTAATCAGAGTACCATCATTGGAATTCCAGACGCAATACACAATACACAATCTACAATCGCACGAGAATGAATCCTACATTTACTCTCGATGATGAATGTCGCGTTGACAGCGCATCGATGGTCATTGCACGTTAAGGAAGATCGGATGCTGCGTAGCTTTCAACCAATTTTGATCCTCGCTTGAGAAATACTCGGGAAATGAAAACTTTCTTCCTGATCAGCGAGTGTATCTGATAACGAGAATGAAACATACCGATAAAATATAATACGCGATCGTGCGTATGTCATTGAGCGCGTACGCGCCAAATTGTTTCGCTCAAAATTCCATTCGACGAGTGAAGTAAAACGGTGGCTTGCATATATTAAAATATAAATATTAACAAAAAAAAGATTCTCGATATGATAATAATGGATAATAATAAGGCTAATTAGAATTAGCACTGTAAACAATGCACAATTATATGTTTAAGTTTAACTATGTTTATTAAGATTAAAAGATGCAAATGTTTTGACTTGAATTTGAATCATTTTCAATGGTATAACAATGTAGTAAGGATATATTTCTCAATCCATTCTGTGAGCCCAATCATGAAAAATAATGATATGTTGCTCTTGTTGTTTGAAATGAAATTATTAATTACAGATGAACACAGATTACAATAAGAAACAAGATCGCAGCATAAATTTCGTTATAATAATACATTATAATGAGAATCTATTGCACTCCTGGTTATAACTGAAGTAATTAACAACTGAAGTCAATTATATCCTTGTTACATTTTCGTATCACTGAAGATGACTCAAACCTGAGTCGAAACATTTGGTACTTTTTATTAAGGGAGGACTTTTTAATAAGGGATTTGGTACTTTTTATAGTTAAAATTAAATATATAATTGCACATGGTTTACTGATTCCTATTAGCCTTATTATTGTCTATTATGAAAATATGAAAGTTAACATTTTTATATGTATTATTTGTATAGTTATAAATATTTCTTTTTATCACGTAATTCACAGGCAA